CATACATGGTGATTTGCTCAGTTCATCAGCCATCTTCCCCAAAGATGCGTCATCTTTTTCGTTTACTCATTGGCCATCGCTTGCTGTCAGCCGCAGGACCGACGTAGCGCGACGTATGGGGACTGCAAAGCAGGGCGTCGAGGTTGTTGCTGTGACTTGCCGGCGCGCGTTCAAAGCTATATTACATGGTCCTTATCAGTTTTTTTCAACTCTGGCTGAATCTTGGACATTTCAAGATCAACATGGATTAGCCATGTTACTACAAATCTAAACCCCATTCCATCCACGATCTGGGTTCAGGGAGTCCTCAATATCTTTGAAGAACACATAAAAATATGGAAGTGGAGTACATGTGACAAATATGGGACCATCTGCTGCGGATTTTGTTGTGTCAAGGGCGGTTTATGTGCTGATCCGGGGACAACTTCGCGGGTCAAAAGGCCTCCCGTGTCAGGGACGGGAACAACGTGATGTAATGTATCCTTCTAAGGGTCTCCGGATCGACCAGGAGATCCCGCCCCGTATCGCCAGAATGACAACCAGAAGTAAGTTCTTGATGGGACGAAAGGGCCCTTCAGGCATTGACCAAAAGCTGTAACGTGTGCCCTGTCTTCTACTTACGGGGCCTCTCGCCCGGAAGGAAATAAGTGGTCTCAAAATCTGCTGGAAAGAGTGGGGTTCTCGTTATTGTTGAATACAGGGGGTCTAAATGGGTAACAATAAAACAAACAAGGCCATCCCATGCTGGGAGCGTTCGTTTTTTCAGAATGGCTTCGTGAAACAAATTACATCAAAGGTTTGAACATGCTCGCCCACAACCTCGAGAGTAGGGACAGCGACGGCCTGGGTCGCAGTTTCCTTAAAACCGAACGGCGTCGGTCATTGCAAGTACCACCAGACCGCGGGCGCCATGTTAATCTGCCTCGTAGACAAATGAAGAAATACAGAAAAACGAAAAATAGGGGTTCTACCTTTACTCTTCCAGTTCCATCACCAGATTCCAGCACCACTTCGCGGTGCTTTAACATGCGCTCGGGTGGGGGTCAAATTGACCCCCCAAAGGTTTTTCCAGAATGGCCTCCAAACAGCGGCGGCGTAGCCACACCGCATTTTGCATAGCTGTAGACAATGGAATAGCAAATCATTTGACATAAAAAATTTAGATGTACCTTTTTAGGTCGTTGACCCATGGTAGGTCACAACCTGGCCATGGTTTCAACGAGGGCAATTTCTAGGGAGTCGTCCAACCTGATGCAATAACGGAGTGTTTGACGAAGGCATACATCTCTCAAAAGCTTTCTTAGGCACCAGAAATATTGAATAAGCAAATCACGTTGACCTAGGGTCAGGTATGAAAGTAAGACCAAGGTCACAACCAACCTCATTTATAACTCAAGGGCTTGCTGTATGAGATAGTTGTGGTGCTCTTTTCGAGTTTATGGACAACAAGAACCGCATCATACATCTTCCATAGACTTCTTAAGGGTCATAAAAGGTCATTGACTTAAGATGACCCGAGTCGACATTCTGCTTTCAGGCACATACTGCCTAGCGTAATCTTCGTCGCTTATTTAAATGCAAAACTCAAAACAGTGTTGTATGATTTCAGTCACCATGACCTTCAAAAGCTCAAAAAAGGTTACTGACCTCAAATGGACTTTTGACCTTATGCTTGGGAGGAGTTGCCTAGGTTCTTGGGGCACTTTGGCGACCAACCTGGAATTTGACCATATTTGACCTCATTCGACCTGAAGGTCATGACCTAGGTAGCTCAAACGTTGACCTACGTGAGTTCACATATAGGTTAAGACACCCTGTAAATTCCGTGGTTCTAGCTTTCTTAGTTCTCGGGATATCAGGGGAGGTCAAATTGACCCCCACCCGAGCGAATGGTGTCTAGCCGGCCACCTGGGCGCGTGTTACGGGCCAATCCGTTCTTATCATCAGTCGAAGAACCGCACACGTGAAATGTCCACCCAGACTAACTGCTAAAAGTAAGATTTGATGTCCTGAAGCGTTGGAAAGTACTTTTTTTAAAGCGTCATCATTTTCGTACATCTGTTGGTCACGGCTCAATCTTAACTGTTTGACAGACGCTGCGCGGTCAACGGGGACTGCAGCGCCTGGCGAAGACGTTTTTCTCACTAAGGTTTGCGAGCGCGTATGCTCCATACTACGCCACCTAACATGTCTAACTAACTGAATTAAGTGTTTAAAGGTGATTATTTCAGAATCGTCATCACGTGCGCATGTTAAAAACTGAGTTACATAAATTGTATCACTAATCGATTCTGACTGAATGTTGAACATTTCTAGACAAACATAGCTTAGGCTTGCTAATTCACATTTTTAACGACTCTTTCTACAGCCAAATTTTCATCTTCGAATTTAATCAAACATATCGATCTATAACCTACCTTTGCAATGTTCTTAATGTCTGTGGAACCCATTTAATCAATTCTGAAAAAAACTTTTTTAATCAATTTAGAAAGAGTCCACGAAATGATTGGAAATTAAGAGCGTCAGAATAGCATAGATGATAGCCTTATTCGGCAAATGAGGCTATCATCCTGCAAAGGTGGATAGCATTGCTTTCCGAATGGCATAGACGAGTGGAATAGACAAAGATGTGTGGCTGTGAGAAACAGTTCTAGATACATGTCCAGCATAGCAGCAATGCCATTTGAATAAAGAGCGATAGCAATCTCCATCTTTGCCCTGACCCCCACCCCCCCCTCCCACCCCCCTCCCGCGGTCGTCGCGCTTGCTTTCCAGAAAAAGTTCCTGAAGTACGCCCTTTGCTTGCCCACCCCCACCTTTTTGAAACCTTCCTACGCCTTGGTTTTATGTTATGGTTTTAATATTTTTCTAATGAATAGGCTATCGATGGTCAAGCATGCTGAGACTTTGATTTTTGACCAGATTTGGCTTCTGGCAAGTGACATGATTTAAGCTCAATTTTGGGTTCAATTTTCAGCTATTTGAGTTCAAATCCCTTAGAATGGTTAAAATCTCCCTTTAAAGAACCGCGTTTCCGCCTCTGGAGTGTCGCCGCGGCAGGTATCCCAATGTACATCTCAGCGTCCTACCAGCAGCGGCGTGTTAAGCAATGCCTGGTACGGCAGGCTCGTTGTCCTGTCCGTGGTGCAAACCCCGTATCCTCCGGCTGATCCAAAAACTACGCGTGAGGACAAAACGACCCATAGGGAGTGTCACTGGTTGTTTTGTTCGCGGCCTTCTTGTTCTCCGGTCTCGTTCCATCTCCAAACTCTTTCAGATGTACTTGGCGATTATGCTGCAGAGAACTGCCTGGGTTCACGGACAATGCAAGTCCTTTTTAACGCATGACAAGTCAGATATTATCAATATGTTGCATGCTTCATCAGCAAGGCTACTTTGATTCGCAACAATGGCTGATCTGCTACGGCACCAACGAGCGCGGAGTAGTGATCAGAAAGATGCATTCACCGTTTCAGTCAGATTCATAGACAATGGCCGGTTTTCTTACGACTGCATCCGTACAGCAGCCGCGACATCAATGCATTTCTGCAGCCTCTCGGATAGTTACAATCGACGAGCCAATACGATCAAGGCTCAGCGCAAGATGCTTACGGACTCCCGCATGGGTCTAAGAACAACGGCCAACCACAAACCCCGCATTGGCCCTGATGGGAGGGTAGACTCAGTTCAGGCTGCCTACATCCAATAGTTCACGCGTGAACGCATTCACTCTTCACACTGATTGTGTTATAACCGCTTGGCATTTGAACTTGCAATTATCACAACACTGTAGACCCGCTTGAATTATACGCATTTTGATGTCTGGTTAGGTGCTCCAGCCATCAGCAATTTGTTAATTATCTGTACAGAGGCAGTCCGGTGTCTTGGCGGCCCATTTCTGCGGCAGTTTTCGCATAAGCGTGCTCACTGTCCGTGCCGATTTATTTGTAATGATTGGCTACTTTTAACTCGCAAATCACGTTATAATACCCGACATCAAGATTTACGCCACTGGCTTTCTGGCATGTGTAACTGCCGACAACAATTTGTTTGATAATGATACAACTATGTCTTGATGTTCTGGCCGTCGTACTTCGCATAATTCTCATGGGCACATCTTTCAGTTTTATGCCGCTGAATCTTATTGTTTGCGGCGGCATAGGCTTACAAAACATGCCATACTGCTCTCCATTAAGTTCTACGCAATCGCCTAGATGGACATGTGCGCCTCCCGTTACCAGTCTGTTTAGTATCTGTGCAAAGATTTCCGGTGTTTCGCCTGCCCCGCAGATTTAAGAGGCCGCACCGCGTTCAAGTCTCCGCACCGATGACGTCACCGCACTGTACAGAGCGAATGAAAAGCTGTCTATGACAAACCCCCACGCAAGGGATCCCCTGCTTTTATCCCACACAAAACATCACGAGTTGGTTGGAAAATGTGCAGTTATACACGCTTATCCATCCCGAATCGCCGGCGTAGCCTGTTTTGAACATGTGTGTGTAATTTCATTTCCCATGACCTCAGAAGCGTGAAACGCCGGCTGAAAAGTAAAAGCAGACATCCAAGCCTGAAATGATGACGTCATCCAAGTTGGCAATTTACTAGCGGACAAGTCGGAGAAAAATGCAGAAAGTTTGGAACGCCACTAGTTTCCCCAGCCGGCTTCGCAACTGCTTGCGCTTTATTGCGCTACAAAATGTATGAGCACCCAGCGTCCGTCGAGTATAACTATTCTTGTTTCTTTGTTCTCACTCTGGGGTCGCCATAGTTTCCTTCCAGAGGTCAAGGGGTGACGAGATGTCAGTGTTATGGTGGGCACATACTTTTCTATCTGACTCATAACTGCTGTTCAAAGGTTGCATGGGTCACCTGCCACGTCTGGTCATAACGGTCGCCCGCGCGCTGCGGCCGCTCAAGTCGCTGACAGTTGGACTCCAGACGGCAGCAGATCCTTTGTGCAACGCGAGCTCCATCGAGTGCGCTCGCGCTGCTCGGTGGTTGTTGTTCTGGTCGTGTTTAAGAGAAGCTGGGTATCTAGCGATCATAAGTCCACATTTTCACGTTAGTCTTTATCCACAAGCCATCACTTTGAGGTCATGTTACGTGTGAAGCAAGGTATGTACGTCCGAACTCGTGCTGCCACTTTTAAACCCACGGGCTGTGAGTCACGTAACTCTAAATTCTAAGAGAATAAAATTTAAACGCATGACTGTGGTACCTGATGGGCATGAACAATGTTCTGGACATTCCTTTCATGGCATGTGCTTGTGTATAAGGCTGTCCTTTCAATGTTTACGCAAGTGTTTCTTTGTGAAATTGACAATATGGCTCGTTTGAGGCACCTGCTACCCATGGGCTGTCCAGATCCAAATTGTCTCTACATAGACATGTCTACATATATTCTCATTCAGGACTGTGGTCATTATTTCAACCTAGGTAAATTAAAGTGAGGCCTGCTTTTACATTCTTATGCTAGTTGATGTTTGATTTCTCGTCTTTCAAGGTATACATCGTTCATTCCTTTCGAAGAGCCTTCTAAAGGATCACGACGACTTTGTTTTGTACAAGGAGGATTGATACCTTGGAGCAAGATCATTGCATATGTTGGTGCCTCAACAGTCCCTTCAAAATGAGACATGTATACACACTTGAAATGAATAAAGTTAAACAGTTTGACTCAGTCTAATTCATAAAAACAGGTGGAGGAATTAACGGTGGCAGATTTGAATGTTCGCGAGGCGGCCTTGTTATTATGACCAGACTAAGTATGTCTGTCTGGAATTAATATAGGGTTATTAGATGTGAGCAATGGCAAGGATATACAAAAGCGACTGCCATGCAATAAGATTTCTCACAGGATCTTTTTTGGCAATAGTAACATAACAAGTTTTGGCATGGGTACCTGGAATGAAAAATAAGATTGGCCCGTTTATGCTGGATTTTTGGAACACTTGCCCTGCGGGGCGAGTAAGGGCCTTCAAATTGGGGTGCGGGTCGAATGCTAATATCGCAAAAAGAAAAAAATGGCGGCTTTTTGTGGCAGCAGAAATATTGGCTTCGGATGCAAGTTCTTTTTAGGGCACTGCAATCTTTTCTCTCTGGGGTCAAGTGTATGCCAAATGCTACCACGTGTTAAGTGCATCCGAGCAGTTTTTCAAAGGTTACCAAAAAGTAGGCTATGAAAAACTTTTGGGAAGGTGTAGTATTTGTATTAGCGCAATCCCACCTGACCAATAATCTTCACAACTCACACTTATCGCACTGGACGTCTTTCCCTTCCCCACGGTAATACCACCGGTGTAGTTAGTGCGTTTGAGTAACAGTACAACTTTTAGGTAACAGGATGTCTGAGCGGAGACGGTGACACAGGCAGCCATAATTATTCATCTTGCCATCTCGCAACATAGCTGTCAAACTGCCTAAATTTCGAGAGCAACGAACAGCTACCCCATCGCGTTTACTTTATGTTACCTCGCGTAAAAGATGCCTTGGCACACGAGGAACAGGTCTCGCTAGTGCTAATGCCCGCAAAATATCGACGGCGGTTTTTCGAATCAATATCATTACTGCTCTGATGCTTTCCGCGATGCTTCTATTCCCTCGACAAGCGAGGATACGTGGCATACAGAATAACACCACGCACTAAGATGTGTGTAATAAAGGCTCGTTTCCGAGTCAAAGCATCATCCTCATCTTGATATTATCATTGCGCTGTGTCGTCACATTGCATGCATCACTATGTCGTCATTGCAACATCATCATTGCAGGCACTGCATGGGTCCTGTTGATGGTAGCTGCATCAGCTGGGGCCTGTGTCCCAAATGGTCTGGACTTGAGGCTGCTGAAGGCATTGACGACTGATTTGAGCAGGAACCAGGCTATTGCCCCGTTCGCCATGTCCACGCTGATGACACAGGTCTGGCTCGGAGCCAGAGGCGACACCAGACATGAGGTACGTGCGTGGTAACGAGCTCTGCCCACCGTGCTGCTGACTCAAATTGTTCAAGTGTTCCAGTATTGTCTCAGACTGCCCCGTGCACGTACAAGTACTGTCTTAGACTGCCCCGTACACGTGCAAGTACTGTCTCAGACTGCCCCGTACACGTGCAAGTACTGTCTCAGACTGCCCCGTACACGTACATGCACGAAGCACGATGAACGTTCTGCGTTTTGATGGGTAGCACCAATGCCTTTTGAAAATACAATTACATTTTGCATTATTGTCTTCTTTTCCCCCAGATGACCACGGTCCTAGACATAAAGACGGGTGCCGGCAGCAGGTTTTTGACGTGCTACAAAATTGCAATCAGTGACTTCGCCGACGGTCCTGGTAACATCACCAACGTCGTCTTTAATCGGATTTACATCGAAAAACGGTTCAGCATCAATTCGGGATTTAAGAATGTGTTGCAAGAGTACTTTCATGCTGTCGTGAAGAAGTTTTCGTGCACGGGGCAGGCGGCGAATAAAATAAACACCGGCGTAGCCAAGGCAACGGGAAACCGCATCCAGAACCTTGCCTCAGAGAGTGCTATGCGCTTCAAGTTGGTCCTGCTCAGTGCAGTTTACTTCAAGGGCCTGTGGCTAACCCCATTTGATATGACCGTGAAGGGACCGTTTTCTCACGGCCTCAGGAAACAAGCAGGTCGACATGATGAAGCTTTTACCCGGGTGCCGTATGCAAAGATGTCTGATTTTGATGCGATCTCCTTGCCGTACACGGACGAAAACTATGTTATGCTGATCTTACGTCCACTGACGCGAAATATGGCTGCCGTTTCACGTCTGAAGCACTCCCTGGACATTCTTGACGTTGCCGTTATCATGAGGCGTTTGCGTTCGTCGTCTGTTCAGATAACCATGCCTCGTTTCAAGATAAGAGCAGGTGGCTTTCTAAACAGAACCATGTCGCAGTTGGGAATCCGCAAAGTCTTTACGCGCGAGGCAGACCTGAGTAACATTGCGGATAAGTTCCTTGCTGTCGGCCTCATTATCCACAAGGTGTTTATTGAGGGTGACAGAAAAGGCACCGAAGCTGCAGGAGCGGGTGCCGTCACTGACGTGCTGCCTCGACCCGTTCAGTTTATGGCAGATCGTCCCTTCTTTGCCATTGTCTGGAACAAAAAACACGACATCAACTTGTTCTCTGCGTACGTGGCTTCACCATAGACGCATGGCTATGATTATACACACTTTTTTAGACGAGGCATGGTACTTACATTTGTATAGTGTGGATCGTATTAAACATGCAAACCTGACGTCACACATTCCGGAATAAATGAGTGGAAAGCTGGGACCCTTCTGTGTCCAAGTTTTTGTATCATTTATATTTAACCTTACCGATACTTTTTTGGCAAATCTAGGAAAGTGTTTGCTATTCGCAAACAATGTTCTAACCCACCGTTTGAGTTGAACACTTTTGTCCTCCTCTACATCACTGTTGAAAGGAATGTTAGCATCTTCGTCTTTCGATTTCTTGGGTTTTCATTGGAGTGTATGGGGACCTGTAATGTGTGCGGGTTTCTGCACTAACGTGGGTAATCTGATACGTTAGAAATATACGCTTTTGCGAAAATGTTATCGTTTTTTCACATTCCATTCCTTTATTAACCTTTTGTATTTGAATTTTTGGACGTGTTGGCTCACAAAACACGAAGCCAGGTTCGATATACCGACCATGCGCAATGCTGAAATAGTCGTGGTGCCTCTTGAAGGTTTGCAATGAGAGAACACTTTCGACGAAGAAGAATGATTCGGCTTGGACAAGAGACGATGCAATGCACTCGATGACAGAATTTTGAATCATCACGTCAGCATGCCTTGCACGTTCTTGAAGGTTAGCAGCCAAAGCAACTAGCATGATCAGACCTTGGCTCGAATTTCTTTCTGAGTAAGGAAGAATGAAAGTACTGCGCAAAAGCAACCCAAGTCAGCAGCTTCTTTTGCGTTGAGCTATAATCACGTGGAGCGCTTGACGATCTGTGTGACTCAGCGATGACTCTGACGATCTGTGTGGCTCAGCAATGACTCTGTCCTCAACGCCCTGCCCTCAAAGAGTGTGGCGTCAATGCAGTCGTCGGGAGGGTCTGCGTCCATAGCCTAAACCTGTTAAGGTCAGTTGAAGATATTGGTCGCGAGATAACAGGTGCACTATAGCACAGTCATTAAGTGTAATATCTCTGGAGCAATATCAAGAAGGCGAGCACAAATTGCTTGTTCTCCGGACAATTCAAGAACTACGCGTATGGGCCAACAACCTATACGGAGTCGAAATGTCCGTCTTGTCTGGGGCTTTGTCGTTCGTCGGTCTCTTTCCTCCTCAAGCCTTGTTCAGAGCTATACGGCGAATATCTTGCAGAGAACTGTTTGGGTTAGCAGAGAAGACCTGTCCTTCTAACGCATGACTAAGTCAGTTGTCAGCAATATGTCGCATACTTCATCAGCTAGGCTGTTGTGATCTGCAATAATGATCGGTCTGCTTCGCTATCAACGAGCTCAGAGTAATGATCAGGAAGATGCATTTACCGTGTTAGGCAGATTGATAGACAATGACCAGTTTTCTCACGGCTGCAGATGTACAGCAGCCGTGGCATCAAGGAATTTCTTTGGCCGTTCGGACAGTTGCGAGCCTCATACCCTACCGAGCCAGCTCCTATGCTTCCGCACCCGCTACTGCTACAGAAATGATGTTCACTATCCAAAATTCAATATCTTTTTCATGTACGGTTCCTATCTTTACAGAGAATATATCCCAAACCACGCGTTCATGAAATACACCCCGTCGGCTCGTTTTGAATGCAGCGTATTTTAGAAATGCGGAGGCAAAGCAACTCAGTTTTATGCACCTGATGCTATACTTACATAATTTGCGTTGATGCCTGAGACCTGGACACTTCTGCATCTCATGATTTTGCGGGAGGGAAGTGTTGCCATTCAACGCTTTAGGAAACGTGATTTCTTGCGGATGAAACCATTTCCAGAGGAATGTTGCAGCCATTGGACCGCCTGTTCCTCGAACTTATTCAGTTATGATCGAAAAGTCCACATTACCTTCAATATCAGCATTCACAATGTTAAAAGACTAAAGTGCCTCGAGTGCCAGTAATAACGGTCGCGTACCATCCATTTTACACCAGGCGTAAGAGAGTGATTATGTAAGGCAGAATCACGCCACGTTGTTGCCGAAGGTTATCATCAAGGCCAAGTGATATCGAGGTCATTTGATGTCAAGCCAGTTCAAGTCAATGTCATATCAGTATATTGGATTTTAATTTTATAATTTCAGCCAAGTCTGTTCGAGAGAGGTAAAATCGTCTGGTGATTCTCGCTTCATCTTCGCCTAACGCTAGCGCGCCATCACTGGTGAGAAGACTGAGACTTCAACACCCTGCGGGCTGCTACAAGCGAAACGTAATACTAATACTGAGGAGCGATCGGAAAATCAAAATATTCACACGGATTATGAAAAACCGCTAGCACCAGGGGCATATCACCAGCAATCCGATAGCTTGAATTTTTGTCGTTGCAAATATTGCGATGTGCTCCGCAAGCATATGCGGGAAACCTTGAAATCCAACGTCATGTGAAGCAAAGATGTACACACGAGACTTTTTCACAAAATGGTCGTCAGAATATGGGGCTGACTTTGTACAACAAACGAACAAACTACTAGTGGGAGATGTAGGTGACTAACTAACCGATCGCGTGGAATTTAAGGACGGGTATGACAATGTACTTGACAATCTCAACACGCGCTCGGGCGGGGGTGGGCCAAATTGACACCCCTCCCCCCAAATATTTTCCTGAATGGTTTCCGAACGACGTGGCGTAGCCGTGCCAAGTTTGGCATAGCTGTAGATAATTAAATATCGGATAGTTTTAAATCACAAATTTGGATGTACCTTGTAAAGTCGCTGACCTATGGCAGATGAAAATCGAGCCATGGTTCCAGCGAAGGCAATTCTAGGGGAACCGTTCAATCTATTGCAACAACGGAATGGTAGACGAAGCCACACATATCTGAGATGCTTTTTTAGGAAACACAAATATGAAATGGGCAAATTACGTTGACCTAAGGTCAGGTATGAAGGTCAGTTGGAAATGATGATAAATTAATTAACATGGTAAAATGATGTAAAAAGTAAAATGATGATAAATCAGACCATCGTCAAAACCAAACCCATTTCATTACTCTAAGGTTTGCTGTATGGAATAGCTTTGATGCTCATTTTGATATTTTTAGGAGCAGGAACCGCATTATACATCTTCCAACGACTTCTCAGAAGTCAGGATAGGTGATTGGTCTAAGATGACCGAAGTTGACATTTTGTTCCTTCAAGAGCATACTGCCAAGCGTAATCTTCATCGCTTATTCAAATGCAAAGCTCCTATTAGTATTTACGTAGAATGCAAGCCAGATGCGGTCAAAAGAGAAACGCATGCTGATGCGCGAAGCTGCGTCTTCTCTCGCCACCCTGGGCTGGCTTACCGTTAGGTTCCTCCATAGCCGTGGCACAAGATTGCCCCCCCCCCCTTCCTTCTCCTCTATCCCCGTCACCACAATCCACAGTCAAATTCCGTGCCCCAGATATGCATGTTGCATGGTGATCAGTCGCTACGCGAACGTACCTGAACCCCGGCTTACCGCCAAGCAAAATACCATCAGTCACTTCCACAGCTCTCCATCCCTGATTTCTGTGGATGATCGATTTCGATCCATTTTCCATTAAATTACAGCTGGATCCGCTCCTACTCGCTCGCACATGCTAGCTTGCCAATGCGGAAGGCAACCGCATCGCGGTTTAATCTATATAACTTAATGATTTTGACGCCGTGGAACATTCGTGACGGGTGTCCATGTGCGCCCCCGCTCCTTTCCATGATGAATCTCCCGCTAGATGGCAGGAGGTCCGCGCGCAGACGCCGAGAACAATAGCTGAACCCAAGAATGGTCAATCCCGCACTGACTTGATCCCTGACACTGCCAAGCCAGAATGCAGAGCACGAGATATATCTGTGGTGCCGTTCTTTTTAACCCGAACAAAATCAGCGATAGGCTGCTGAATCTTTGTGCGTTCTACACGAAAGGCAGCAAGCTTCAATAATTACATCTATCCTAACCCTAGGCATAGTTTCAATAGCCGCGATGATGTGCCCATAGATTGTTATGTGTGCAAAGCATCATGGCAGTGCGCGCGCCGGTGTGACCCTGGTTAATGGATGATTGTGTTTTGGCGGCGGTCACCACTCGTTCAGGCCTCCGTTGTAGCACGTGTGCCTTGTAACGGCCTTTGCGACCTTTGCTGGTTGAATACAGCTCCCCATTACACTACAAATTCAGCTCGGACAAAAACAAAAACACAACAAATTTGCGACCAAACTCAGCGTAGGCTGCTTGTCGACCTCCGCACAGGCGCAAGAACAGCAAAGGATCTCCACATTGGGGGACCGTAGCAATTTTTCTGTACTTTTTCCGGTTAACAGTCATTGAAGCGAGGGCTAGAATTCAAGGATGCTGGGCGGGGGCTCATTCCTCCCTTGAACCTGTGCCTTAAGTAGGCTATTCACTTCCCACGCCAATTTAATTATGATGGCTTTGCGGAATGTCACTCCCAAAGCGCATGATCATGCTTGTCATTTAATTTCACCTGGTCAGCGCGTGGAAAGGTTTACCTACCAGTAATGAGCTACTTGAGCTACTGGTAAAAAGTAGCCCCATGTTCAGGCTGCCTATCCCCAATAGTTCATGTATGAACGTGATCCCTTTTCACACAGATTGCGTTAGAACCGCTTGACATATGAACTTGCATTTAGCACGTCATGATACTGCCAATTAAGTTACACGAATTCGGATGTCTGGTTATGTTCTCTTACCCTCAGCAGTTTGAGGATTATTGGCACGAAGGCAGTACGATGTCTCAGCCGTCCATCTCCTGTGAAGTTCGTGCAAACGCGTGTTCAATTTCGATGCAGATTCAATTGTAATGGGTGGCTGCATAACCTTGCAAAGCATATATTAACAATGGACGCTAGGTTTTACGCGATTGGGTCTCTGGTCATATGCTGGTGCCGAAAACAATTTGCTCATTATCGATATGAACAGGGCTCGATGTTCTAGCTGTCCTGTCCTGTATAATTCTTGTGTGTACGTATTTCACTTTTCATGCCGT